GATGGGAATTTATTGCAATGTTCTGAAAAGATTTGTTATTATTATTAAAGGCAAGTCAAAGTGCTGGTGAGATCTTTTGTGCTATGTTTAAATCAGGGAAGAACACTATATTTTGTTTTTCTATTAAAAAAAAACAAAAAAACAAAATATTCATATAATATCTCTTTATTTAATGTCATTTTACCAGAAGCAAAGAGAAATCATGGAGAAAAAAATCTTCAGGCTTATATCAATATGTGTTTAAGATCAAATAGATGTACCTGAGGGATTTCTAGTATCTATAAGATATCTTGTTTCAGTAGCTGCCAAGAAAAAAAGGGGACAGCTGATACATACATTACTTTTGAAGTTTGCATGCTTTGTCTTAAAGAGAGAATAAGAACAATTCTATTCAGCCCTCATGAATCTAAAACATTTCAATCCTTTAACAGGGAGATGATTGCTCGTAACTCAAAGATGTACAGCATCAAATGAGTTGGCCTGCATTGTGAATGAATGAACAAATCTTCCAGTGATGATTAAGGGAAAGAAATAAAAGTGGGATGGATATTTAATTTGTGCACAGATGGTGGTCCTCAAGTTATGACCACAATTGGGGACCAGAATTTCCATGTCAACGCTGCTAACATGGGATGTTCTTGCTTTGACAACATATGGAGATGCAACCATTTCCCTTCTTATGTTTTACTCTTAGAATTAGAGTTACAATTAGATGATACTGGGGGGAGGAAGAGGAGTATGCATGGGAGTTTAGTTAGACATAACAATACTGTAACTAGTGTGAGAACCAAGGTTTTGAAATAAGAGATGGTAAGAATTGGCGGGCTGGAGAACTGGAGGGAGAGTCTGCATTTCAAACTAATTGGAGAATGTGATTCATGACTGTAAATTAGAGGAGGGAATTGTGCTTTGATACTATGTGCTCAAGGGAGGGGAATTCAGATTTTGGCTTTGGCCTATGTAAGTGCCGATGCTATGCTTCTCGAATAAAGATTCTTTAAGGTAAACAATGCCTCAAAGTTCTTTGAAGAGTTTCATCCATCGGAACCATGACACTCCATTGCTAAGCAAGGTGGTTGCTAAGTGAATCATACCTGATGCTATGACCATTTTTGTCATGGTCAATAAACAAATCACTGCAGTTAAGTGAATCATATGGTTGTTAAGTGAATTCATCTTCCCCCATTGACTGCTCATCAGAAGCCAGCTGGGAAGGCTACAAATGATGATCTCATAACCCTGGGATGCTGTAACCATTGTAAATGCAGGCTGGTTGCCCAGGGTCCAAATTTTGATCATGTCTGGGATGCTGCAATGGTCAAAAGTGTGAGGGCCAGTCAAAATTCCCAAAGGTTCACAGAACACTGTTACCTTCCCACCGAAGTGGTACCTCTTGACCTATTCGCATTTGCATGCTTTCAAACGGCTAGGTGGTGAGGTGCACTGTAACTTCGAACAGTTGCTAAAAAAAATACCCATGCCTGATCATGTAGCCCAGGGATAGGCAGCCTTGGCTGTTTTATGACTCATGGACTTCAACTCCCAGAATTCCTGAGCCAGCCGGCTCAGGAATTCTGGGACTTAAAGTCCACAAGTCATAAAAGAGCCAAGGCTGCCTACCCCTGACCTAGTTCTTTGAAAGCATGCAAATGCAAGTAGATCAATAGATACCACTTCAGTGGGAAGGTAACAGCATTCGTGAACCTCTGGCATATAGCAATGCTGGCCACATGACCATGGACAATGTCTTCAGACAATGCTGGCTTCCTGGGCCAAGATATGGAGATGAGCACCAGACTTTAGAGTCGGACACAACTAGACAGGGAAACCTTAACCTTTCTCCCCCCCCCCCCGCCTTACCTGTATATATTTGGTGCAGAACAAAGAGTTGACCCACCTCTAAAAAACTAGAATGGAGAAATGGTAAAACTTCAGCTTTAGCAAGACTAATAGTGGTGGGAAGGAGTGTCAGAGTTAGCCTATATAGCAAATATTTGGAAGTTTGATTTTTTTTTTTTAAAAAAAAGAAATACTTGCTTATTTGCAAAACAAACCATGGATACTTAATAACACAGACAGGAATGGAGTGGGAGGGAGAGGTAAAACAATACAAAAAGGCAAGGCAGTGGTTCTTTGGGGGAGAGGATGGTGTTTGCCAAGGCCCCAATTCACACAAGGCTGAGATTTTCCAATCTTTGTCCTCTCTGCACACAGTGCCTTTGGGAGCGGAGGAGGTGAAGGCAGAGACATGATGCATTGTCGCTGCTATAAAAAGCAATCTCATCGCTTTGAGCAACTTTTCTTTGCCCAGCTACTGAAGAAAGAAGGACTTCCTTGTGAAATGAGAAGCTCTTTTTCAAGCTTTTGCTTACTTAGGCTTTTTTTTTTAATGCAAAGAAGCTGAAAAAGCTTCTGTATAAATATAACTTAAGAATAAGGCTATTCAAGTTGAGAAAGTGCTGCAGTCGAGAGAAAAAAAATAATAACTTTCAGCACTCGGGAATTTGTACATTTTGAATCTCTTTGGGGAAACAGTTGGATTTATAGCTGGTCTCAGGAAAAATATCTTATACGATTTAGTCATTAAAGAACACTGGATGTAGACTAGAGGTTTCTATTTTAATTCTGCTCCCGTTCGAGACAGACAATAAAATTCTTATCTGACTTCCAGACTGGTATATTCTTTAAACCTCTCTTGATCCTTGGGAAACTGGAGGTGCCAAATAGATTAGTTATGTTTTATTAAATTACTCTTTCCTTCCTTTCCTCTCCTTCCTGGATTGCAGTTTTGCTAGAAGAATTTCTAGAAATAATTCCATTAGCAATGCATGCTCTTCTGTTAGTTTTCAGTCTGTTCCATTCACCTTCATCCACCCCATTCATTCTGCAGCATCAACATGCATACGTAAAACCATCCTCATGAGGAAATGTTTCATTGCGTCAAGATACACCACTAAATAGCATCAAAAGAGAGGCAGAGCCCAACGCCCTTGGAAAATTCAAAACTGGAACAATCCAAATTTCTAATTTCTTTGGAAACTTGGCCAAATGGTGTAGGAGTTACATTATCCTGATGTAACTTTTGCATAAGAGTGTGAGAAGAATTTAGATTCTGCAGGATCTCCCAATGACCTATCCATTGTGTCTAAAATATTCTTCTAGCCCTGTCTTAAGGCTCTGCTCAAAACATGGATGCAGAGAACTCTACATGAAAATGTTATGTGACTGAAAAACAAAGCAGTTAAGGCACTCTGCCTTTTGTCACCAACTCCTGCTTGAAACTGAAATCAGAAAGCTGGTAATTAAACCACAAACTAGTCATCAGCAAGGACTTGAGACATTGGTTGTATTCTTCTGTGCATGGAAATTTTTGTTACTATACAAAAGACCAACCTTGTGAAATTTATTGATAGAGAAGAGTCAACCATACCTCAAACTGCAAGGCACAGCCTCTGAATTAAATAGCATCCATAAAGACATCATCATATGAAGTCTATGAAGATTCTCAGTCATCCAGGTCATGGTTGTCCCAAAGATGTTTTTTTTCAAAAGGCAACAAAATCCACCTGCCTTTTAAAAAGCACCTTTGGTTCATCATAAGATGTTTCCCTTGTAAACCCATCAAGACACAGACACTAACATTTTAAGAAGCTGGACATCGTTAACAAAAGTTGTTCCTGTCTCTTTACAGATGCTATTTAATATTCCAATAATAAGATGTGCTGTCTTTCTTCCTCCAGCATCTCCCATGCTGCTACTAGTTTTATTCCTCTTCCTTCCTGCAATTCCTTTAACTAATCTAGGACCATTTCTACCACCATCAAACTTTGACATGCTGTGAGAACCGTATGAGCTGGTCATAGCATTTACTTGTCGATGTGACCTTAATAAACGGTATTGCCCAGTCATTTCTAAATATCCAAAGCAGGTGCTGCAAGGGAGACTTCTGAGCCAAACCTTACTCAATTTAAAAGACAAAATAAAGGGGTGAACTGGCCTCTCACTGGCATCTCTGCCAATGGAAATTGCCCATCATGAAGATCCAATACATAAACTACAGACCTATATTATTATTATTATTATTAATAATAATAATAATAATAATAATAATAATAATAATACAGACTGACTACAAGCAGCGGCATGACAAAGTAGCAACAATGGTGCATTGGAAGATCTGCAAAAAATATCATTTGCCTGTAAGCAAAAACTGGTGGGATCATAAAATAGAGAAAGTCATAGAAAATGATAAAATTAAACTGCTCTGGGACTTCAGAATTCAAACAGACAAGCACCTGCAACATAACACCCCAGACTTAACAATTGTCGATAAGAAAGACAAAAAAGTCTGGATAGTGGACGTGGCAGTGCCTGGAGATAGCAGAATAGAAGAGAAAGAACTGGAGAAGATAACAAAATACAAAGACCTACAAATAGAAATAGAAAGACTGTGGCAAAAGCAAGCAAGGGTAGTACCAATAGTAATAGGCTCCTTGGGTGCAATCCCAAAACAACTGGAGCACCACTTGAACACCATTGGCATTGACAAATTCGCTATTAGTCAATTGCAAAAGGCGGCCTTACTAGGAACTGCTTCCATCCTGCGACGATATCTGTAATACCATCAAACACCCACATCTGCCTATCCCAGGTCCTGGGTAAGGACTCGATAGGTAGACAAAATGCCAAATCCTGTCTGAACATCTGGCTGACTGTGCGATGATCCATAATAATAATCTGTGAAGCTAGTCTGCTTCATCAAAGCTTTGTGTGATCACTGGGATCAGATCTGATCCAGGAACAGCCTAGATGCAACATATGGAGGGTCCTCTCTCTGCAATCTTGAAAGACCTCCAGGTGCATTTTTCCAGATATTAATGCATGAGGTTTCAAGCAGCACTTTCCCCCGTCTTGTCACATACCTCTTTCCTCTTCTACACTGTTGATTTTATTCTCCTTGCTTGGAATACCCATCTTCCTGCTTGGAGGCCACCTCTTACCTTTGCTGGAGAGATGCTTCCATGTTACTGTCGGTTCTGGTCTCCCAAAGGCTAAGCACAGGAGTGTGACACTGCTGCCTTCATTGATGGTGATGTCTGATGAGATGTTTATAATCTGGGGGGGAACTGCAATAAAACAACGGGGAAGAACATCAGTACATTTTATGCTGATGTTAGCAATGGCAGATTCACTTTTCTTGACCCATTCAATATGAAGAATTGCCAAAATAATGCTTGCACTAGCACTTAGACTTATATACCGCTTCACAGTGCTTTATAGCCCTCTCTAAGCAGTTTACAGAGCGTCCTCATTTTACTGAGCTTGGAAGGATGGAAGGCTGAGTCAACCTTGAGCCGGTCAGGATCAGAGGAATAGAATAGAATAGAGCTGGAAGGGACCTTGGAGGTCTTCTAGTCCAGCCCCCTGCTCAAACAGGGGAACCTATTCCAAATAAGTGACTGTCTAGCCTCTTTTTAAAAATCTCCAATGATGGAGCACCCACGATTTCTGGAAGGAATCTGTTCCACTGGTTAATTGTCCTCACTGTCAGGAAGTTTCTCCTTAATTCCAGGTTGCTTCTCTCTTTCATCAGCTTCCAACCATTATTTCTCATCCTTCCCTCTGGTGCTTTGGTTGAACAATCTGGCCCCCTCTGCCTTGTGGCAGCCCCTCAGATACTGGAACACTGCTATTGTGTCTCCCCTTTTTCTCCTGGCAGTGTGAGCAGAGTTGGCCTGCAATACTGGATCCTAACCACTGCTCCACCACGGCTCTTAAATCAATAAGCTGGGTTCTAAAATAAACGGGCAGCAGAACAAATCCGTTTGACGACTCCCAAGGTGTTTTGTTTCAGAAAGAAACATTATGTTGCCTGAACCATCCACTGAATTTTAGACTCTGTCCCCTGCAGATAGTCCTCGATTTACAAGCACCACTGAGCCCCAAATTTTCATTGCTAAGTGAGATTATTATTAAGCGAGTTTTGCCCCATTTTACGACCTGCTTTTGCCATACTAGCTAAGCGAATCACTGCATTTGTTAAGTTAGTAACACGGTTGTGACGTGAATCTGGCTTCCCCATTGCCTGTGTTTGTCAGAAGGTTGCATGACCCCAGGACGCTGCAACCGTCATAACTATGAGTCAGTGGCCAAGCATCTGAATTTTCATCAGGTGACCATGGGGGTGCTACATCAGTCATAAGTGTGAAAAAACAGTCATTAGTTACAGTGCTGTTGTAACTTCAAACAGTCACTAAATGAATGGCTGTAAGTGGAGAACTTCCTGTACTAGATTTTATTAACGATTGCAGACTGTTAGGCTTTCCCATTATTTTCCACTGGGGGAAAAAAAAAACAATCAAATGTTTGTGTAAATCCTCAAAAAGATATAACCCATTTTAAAAACAAAACAAATACGTCTATCAGCAGGAGAAGGGGAGAGAGAGAAAAAATAAGTCCACAAGGGCAAGATTTTGATCCTGTCCCCATGGAAGCTGGTTCTCCTACCATCCTCTGGCAGGATGTTCTGTAATTCAGTTCTGGAAATACAAATACAATGTACATAACTGTCAAAGAAAACGTCAAGTCACAAGTTGAGTTCTGTTCCTTTCCCCCCTCTACTTCCATTTATTATTTCTATTATCTATTTATTATTTCGCTCCATTTCTATTTCCCTCTGTTGGCATGGCGTGCCAAAACAACCAGACACAAAAACATTTCCCCCCCCCCATGCTATCACTCTGCTAAACAACTAATTCCCACAACACTGTCTACGCCCTAGGATGTCAAACCACCTAGTAAGGCTGCATTAACTATTATCCTTCTTATTTTTTCATCTTTCCTATTACCTATTTCCTTAGCTTTATATGGCTATAACTTTGTGTTTGTATCTCATGATTTGTGTTGATTGCCTTTGTTTGGTCTCCTATTATGATTCATGTTGTTTGCTTATTGAGTATCCTATGGCCATCCCTGAGTCTGTAACTATGATTTACGATGATTGTATTTTACGATTATGATCATGATTTATCACTTGTTGCTTGTAGGTACACTGAGAGCTTATGCACCGGAGACAAATTCCTCGTGTGTCCAATCACACTTGGCCAATAAAGAATTCTCTATTCTATTCCTTTTTCTCCAGCCTTCCATTCTAATGATATCCCTTGCCTTTCATGGGAAAGAATTCAAAACATTTTGAAATATTTTTAAAAGACGCCTTACTCTTCAGTCTATTACTCTGCTGCAGGCAATCTAAAACAGAGCAGATCTAAAGGGCAGCTGATACCTTACCAAACAACAACAACAACAAATAAAAATAAAAATAGAAGAACAATCTATGGGGAAAAAATGAGTCAGTCTTTCTCAATCTATATTTTTTTCTATATCAATATTTCCCCCTTTTTTTAATATAAAAGACAGTGATCTGAAAAGATGTTCTTCAAGAATTCTTCTCTGTCTTTTTTGCTTATTCTTCCTCTGAATCATAATCTCATGTTTGTGCCTTCACAATTGGTTGCTATGGTAGTTATTATGGCCTTGATAATGCATTTTGTATCACCACAGGGGAGGGAGGAAAAAAGGAAAATAAAAGCTGGTTCAAGGACAGAAGAAAGATCTTCCATGGGCTCAAATCAAGGTTCATCCATGGAACTGCAACTCCATATGGGTTACAAGAGCAATTGGGAAAAATACCACCCACTCTACCCTCCTCCTTACCAACAACAATAAAAACAAACCAGGATTGAAGTGGGTTTTTTTTTTATAACAAAGTAAACTGCTCCTGGAAAGAAACATTATGAGGCATGAAGCCCTGTTTTTAAGGGGCATAACAATGTCCTCTATGTTTTACCCCAAATGTCAAAGATACTGCTCATGTTTCCTTTGATTGTCAACTGGAAAACTTTTATAAAATCACGACTTGAAATAACAATCCACCGGCACCTGAATCGTACATTGCTCTGTTTCCCTCCCAACTCTTAACTTCAAACCAAATGACTTTATTGAAATGATAAACCAGTGGAAAAAAAGAAGAAAAGACATATTTTTGAAATATCCAGAAGCTCCAAAGGTAAATAAACTGGAATGATACATACATATATATATATATATACACTGATACAAGGCAGAGGCACTTCTTCCAGTATCGCACACCTAATTCTGTTCAATTTCGACCAGACAAAACAGGGCAGATCAAAACCAGGTGGGTTTGGTAGAGTGATCACAAATGGTCAGGGCAGAAGAAAAATACCTTAGACCAGGGGTAGGCAACCTTGGCTCTTTTATGCCTCGTGGACTTCAACTCCCAGAATTTCTGAGCCAGCCATGCTGAGGGGAAAGGGAGAGGTTTCCAAGCTGAGCCATGATGGCTCAGGAATTCTGGGAGTTGAAATCCATGAGTCATAAAAGAGCCCAGGTTGCCTACCCCTACCTTAGACCATTCTTCTCTCCAGGCATTTTTCCGGGTTAAACTGGGTGGATGGTAAGTGGATAGTTGGTTTTCCATGCTGGCCTTACACGGGATTTCTATTTTCAGTGCCCCACTTAGTTAACACTTTATATCATGTCAGATCAAATCCCATTCTACTGATGATTTCTTTCCTTGCCTATGCTGTATTTTGTGAAAACAGAGGATAGGGAATGAGAACAAATTATTATGAATTGCGGGGATATAAATACACACCATGATTCCAGTGACATCACAAGTCACTCAAGCTGTGCTCTAGAGGTTTATAATGATTGTTTCCAGCGCATCTTTCAGCTTCTGTATTTATAGCCCTTTTTTTTTCCACTGCTGTCCCTACCTTTGAAGTAAACAGATCTGGCTTCGAGGTGCTTGTGCAATTCCCTATAGAATACCTTCCCCATATATTTACATTCCGAGCTATAGCACCTCATTTGTATTGCCTCTCTAATTTATGGGCTGTATTAAAACCTATCTGTGCAATGCACAATTTCTTTCTGTCTTTCTTTCTTGTTAACCATGCGCACAAGGGAACATATATTGACTAGGGCTCAATGCAGACATTATGACTTTATCACATTTCCCTTTCTGCAAGATGGTTTAATCAATGATTGTGAATCTTGGTCACTTGCAAGGAGGAATAAAGATACCAAAATGTAACAAGGGCCAACTGTGAGATTCACTTTAGGTGTCTGTAGAGATTGTCAGTCAGCTAGGTCACAGCTGCCTCAAAGGTGCTTTTATTTTTTTCCAAAAGGCAACTGGACTGCTTTTTTTTTCTTGAGGAACAAGAAGAAAACATTTCGCTTCTCATTGAAAAAGCTTCCTCAATTCTGATAGTGGGGGCATGGGAGGAGAGGTACTGACAGTCAAGACTGGATGGTGGGGGAAAGGAAGGATATTTCTTTGCAATCATCTGGTTGTTAGTACTCTCTCTGAGAACTGTTCAGGCCACTTGGGCACAGATAAACTCCACTCTCAGAGAGAGTGCTAACAGTCAGATTACTGCAAAGAAACACACACACACACACACACACACACCATCCTATCATCATCATCATCAAGTTGGAAGGGACCTTGGAAGTCATCTAGTCCAACCCCCTGCTCAGGCAGGAAACCCTATACCATTTCAGATAAATGGCTGTCCAGTCTCTTCTTAAAAACTTCCAGTGTTGGAGCATTCACCACTTCTGGAGGCAGGTTGTTCCACTGGTTAATTGTTCTAACTGTCAGGAAGTTTCTCCTTAGTTCTAGGTTGTTTCTCTCCTTGATTAGTTTCCATCCGTTGCTTCTTGTCCTGCCTTCAGGAGCTTTGGAGAATAGATTGACTCCCTCTTCTTTGGGGCAGCCCCTGAGATACTGGAAGACTGTTATCCTGTCTCCCCTCGTCCTTCTCTTCATTAAACTAGACATACCCAATTCCAGCAACCGTTCCTTATATGCTTTAGCCTCCAGTCCCCTGATACTCTTGGTTGCTCTTCTCTGCACTCTTTACAGAGTCTCAGCATCTTTTTTGCATTGTGGTGACCAAAACTGGATGCCGTATTCCAAGTGTGGCCTTACCAAGGCATTGTAAAGTGGTATTAATACTTCACGTGATCTTTATTCATAATCTGTCTTTCCATTTGCCCCCAATATCCAGTCTCAACTATCAGTACCTTTCCT